TTAGGGTTCATTGCTTTATAGGCTATTAATTCATAGGAAGCAATAATGGCTAATTGTACCCTCTCTATTCAGCTAAAGCTGAAGAATTTAATGGAACTAGTATTGTCAGTCCTTGTACAGCAAGAAGTTTAGGATCAATGAGGATTAGAAATCATATTTCAGTTAACCATCATTTGCCTGTTACTTGGGAACGTGCTCACATTAAGTACCTGATTAAGTTCCATTTGATCTTTCATGGATTTTATAAAAGGTTTAGATTATATGGAGTTTTAACGATGTACTGTTTACAGTTCATTGAACTAGGATAATGTGCAAGTAATGTGGAAAAAATTGTTCAGTGTGCTTTGTGTGTAGATGAATACGAGAAATCTGTCTCTGGCACTGGAAAGTCATCACATTTCACTGGAAATACTTTTACTAAAGTATTTTTGAAAGAGAAAGGAGGACTCTTCCATTTTGTTCCTTACTGCCTCTTTGTCTCAAAGAGAAAAAATGGAATTGATGTAGTGATGGAATGCTAAATGAGCTGTACCACTCTATTTAATTGCTTTAATGGATAAAATGGTGAAGACTTGACACCTTAACTATACAATTTTATAAACTTACTTATAATTTATAAGCATATATCAAAATACACCTAAAAATGTAAGTTCTCTTTTTTTGTAGGATGTTACATACTTTAAGAGGTCACCGCGCAGAGATTAGCAGTGCACAGTTCAACTGGGACTGTTCTCTCATTGTCACCGGATCAATGGACAAAACATGCATGGTAAGAAAGTTGAGTGTGTACTAAATACAGCTACTCGATATATAAAAACGTATCTTTTGTAAATGGAGCACCGTTATTTTAAACTAGTGCATGTAATTTGTTAAAGAATTTGCAACTAAATCCAAAACCTATAAGCTTATTAATTTCAGTGAAGTCCAGTTAAATAACAATATTTCTGTATATATTTTGAGGGTCCTTTAATCAATACACTTACAAAAAATATACACTTAAAAAAATATAGATCTTCATGAAACTGACTAAACAGTGACTCTTTATTGATTTATATCCAGGTTTCATGTTAATACGTTGTCAGACATCAGAAAGGGCCTATATATGTTGCTTTATGGATCAACTAGATATCTATCAAGTACATTAGTCAAAATAAGAAAAAAAATTACCCTTATTTATCTATGCAGCTGTGGAATGCTATGACTGGGTTGCACATAGCAACTTTAAAAGGTCACAGTGATGAAATATTGGATGTCTGCTTTGATTATACTGGCCAGCGTATTGCAGCTGCCTCTAGTGATGGTAAGTGAAGTGACTGGGACTGCTGTAAAAATTGCAATAGTAGCATAAAACAACTTTTTGCTTTTGTTTTGCTTTGAATGTAGCTTGATGAAAGTGGAATATCATGACTTGAAACTATAGATCAAACAATGTTTGTTGCATTTTAGAAAGTTCAGCATTAAGAAGTTTTCCCCAGTGAAAATTTTCTCATTCTTCACACTTTAATCAACTCAATATATCTTTCCCCTTTAACTTCAAACTTGTACAGAAATAATTCACTTGGGGCTGGAAATACATTTTAAATGTTTAGGTAAGTAGCTTTTGAGCAAAGCTTGGTTTGGGTGGATCAAATTTAGGCTTAAATGCAAAAGCTAGTTGGAATTTTAATGGAGGATTTGCTACTTCAGTTTCCCAATACACAGCAAGAGAATTTACAATAAAGAGATAGTGAAAGAAGCAATTTTGTTTTATTATTGGTATGCAGCAGTTTTACATGCTTGTTATTGTTTTTAGGAATCACAATAAATAGTTTTTTGTATTCACCTGGGCAGTGTTATATCATAGTGCATAAGGACAACACCATATCATTTTTACATACTTAAGTGTTTTGCTTTGCACTTTCAGAAACAGAATACCAGACTGGACGGGGGCCACTATTTGGATCTGATTTGCTGTAGCTGCTAAATTAAGACATAAGACAATGTAAAAAGTTTCCTGAAATATAATAAATAGCTTATTAAATATAATTAATACCTTATTAAATAAAATTAATATATGAAATATAATGAAAGCTTTCTGAATATATTTTACTTGCATTCTGAAATTACAGATTCAGTAGCCCGTATTCTATGTGTGCATTTCTAATAACATTTTAGAAATTTTCCAGTGGAAACCATTAAGAAGTCAGCCTTTTCCAACCAGATTACAGATAATTTTTTACATACTTTATCCTTGGAGGAAACTGTGTTAAGATTGTCTTCTGTTTCTTCTGAAATAAAACCTGAGGATGCGGCCCTTCTGACACTATTAAAATGTTCTTATTGAAATGCATGCTTAAGCATAACAATCACAAATGGGTCCTAATCTACTACAACAGGATCAGCAAGAGTCTATAATGCAGAGACAAAAGAGTGCATTGCAGAGCTACAAGGGCATGGAGGTGAAATTTCAAAGGTAAGTTGTTTGTGGTTTGCACCTTTTCTTATTTGTTACATGTGACATCCAATCCACCAGTTACTCCATGACACAGGAACACTGCTAAAGAATGTGGTGGTAAAGTTATCAACATTTAAGATTGAGAGGTCTGTCTAAGAAGTTATCTTTACTGAAATAACATTCCTATTGACTAAAAGCTATCAGTCAATGACTGTTTCCAGCTCCCTGCGTCTGAGGTAATATAATACCAGGTGTGCTACTCGTATAGGCTCCACCAAGAGCCATCTCTCCATGTTGTCATGTTATTTACTATTTGATTCCGTACAAGTGTGGCAGTTAGCAAGCTACTGAAGAAGTCCATCCCTCCCAGGAATGGATATCTGGCTTAGTTAACATTAAAATGATCTTCCTTATCTCTTTCCTTTTTCTGAAACAGTATATAGGTTGGGTCTCTGCAATCACTTGGCAGAGAACAGGGCAGCAGAGAGGGAGATGCTGTCCAGATGTTCTTTCACTATGATCATCATTAATAGAGCTTCTGCCTGACCTGTCCTATATTGTCCTTGTGTTATTATGCCCTTGGAGTACCCAGAGTCTCTGACAGAAAAAGCCCAAGATTTTTAGTCTCTTGATGACATCTTAAGGTTATTGCCTCTGAGGCTTTTACCATCACCCTTATTCCTTGCTTCTGCCAGATCTGTTCCTCTTTACTGTTTTTAATTTATTTGCTCACCCAATTTATAGAACAGAAAAAACATATTTCTGTGGCAAAATACATGGAGTCTTATTTTCAAAAGGGCATAAGGGACTTGGAAATATAAAGCCTGTTTCAAAAGTCAGTTGGTCATGAGGAGTGTGCCTATGTACCTTGCTGTAAGTCTTGTCTGTCTCAATTTTGAATACCAAAATTCAGTTCCAAATACAGCTATTTCTAAAATTGTATGTAGTTTTCAAGCTTTGTTATTTAATGCTTGGAAGTTTCCATGATACTTTCAGATGGATGGTTTTCACTGGCTTCCAGGCTAGTATGCTAAGTCTGTGCTGCTTTAATGTATTTTGTAATTTATATAAATTTATTTAAATAAATGTAATGTAACAATAAATGTAATTTAAATGTTGTAATTGAAATATTAATATTTGAAGCAAGGATGGTTCTTAGTGAACAAAACTCACATGCTTTCATTGTATTGATTTGGCTTTTACAATCACTGCTGAGAGAATGTGAAGTTCAGAAGGGCTAATCTTTCCTCACTTAACACACTCAGTGCAATAGTTCACACTTGGTGTAGATGCACTGAGGAATGCAGACTGAATACATGCTGATGTGGGTGGGTTAGCGACAGTTTCTTCAGGGTCCTTAGTGCTGGCATGATTTCTTTGCTGGAAGTGAGAATCTGCTCATCTGGGAGCGTGTTGAAAAGTCGATCTATTTCTGCAGATGTTCTGGGTAGCTGTGATCAATTGGGAAGGTTATTACTTGGAAATCTGATTTCTGGGGAACAGGCATTTTGCCATCAGTAATTAAGCAATTTTGCATTATATTGCCCAGTTAGTGCTATAAAAATATATCTGATTATCTGGAAATGTGTGTAATTTTGGCAATTAATGTTTAACAAATACAAAGGCATACTACAAAATGAGTTGCCTTCAGTGGAAGATTTGATATTACAGAGACGTATGTTATTTAATGTATAACTCAATAAAATATGTATAAATTTTACATTGGAATAATGATAAGGTTTAAATAAAGTTGTTACAGTTGTAGGGCAATTGTGATTTTTTGGGGGGAAATATTCTGAAGTCTTGATCCTATAGTAAAGTCATTGTATACAGACCTTTGTACATATACAGAATTTTCAGCCACAGAAGTTTGCCAGGGTGACTCTAGTGGAATACTATCCTGAATTTTAGCTGAAAGACTGAATGCAAGAGTTGCTGGTTTCTGTTTTCACTTTCTGATCACTAGAAATGCTCCTTTTTCTAGCCATATTGATTTCCCAAGTAATATAACTCTTTTCTATATTTTTTTTAAAGATATGTTTCAGCCCTAAAGGCAATCGTATACTAACAGCAAGCTCTGATAAAACAGCTCGACTCTGGGATGCTGCTACTGGACACTGCCTTCAGATATTAGAGGGTCACGCTGATGAGATATTCTCCTGCGCTTTCAATTACAAAGGCGATATAATCATTACAGGTAACTAATACATTCAAGGTATTTTTGGTTGTTTTTTTGTTTGGTTGTTTTTTGAGACATTTCTAATCTTGTCGTGGTAAAAATAATTAGAGTCCGAAAAGTGTCCTGGGGCCATATCCCAAATGCAGGTACCAGCAGTGACTTAAAATACAGTCAAGAAAAGCTAGAAACTCACTTTGGAACTGAGGCCTATGTGAATAAGGCCATGAACAAATTTGTATAAAGGAATGGGCATACCCTACCTGTCCTATGGGCGTATACTAGCCCCAGGCCAGTGACTAAGCCATTTTCTCACAATGTATTGCCCTGAGGGACGTCTGGATGAGCAGAATACAAAGCTTTGTAAATGGGAACACACCTCTTGTGCATTTGGCACTGCATTCTGTTCAAGTTTCATTCACTCCAGACAAAAAATTGTGGGAATGGGAAATGTGAACAGAGTATTTTGTGATTGTTTAGATCTTTTGACTACACTACCAAAATATGGGGTGCAGGATGATCTCAGCTAAAAATATTGCTGTAGGTCCTTCTGTCTCCTCCTAGTCATGGACAGAAAAATATTCCTCTAGCTTCTCAGCATTCTAGGTAGATTACTGGTGTGGGTATTAACAAAAATGGATAAATTGTGCGATACTGCTGATTGCCTCACAGTGTGTTTTTATTACTAGGGAGTAAGGATAATACCTGCAGAATATGGCACTGACTGAAGACAAGGAAAGATCCTGTTTGGTATATGCCTATTTCATGAGTTTCATAGTCAATAAACTCAGTCTTTTAGATCTGTTTTCTTTTACCCTCTTTGTTTAGCTTAAGCTTTGCCGAAGTAGGCAAGTTACCTAGATATTGATAGGTTTGGCTTTGCTGGTGTCTGGTAGATACGAAATCATAAAACAGTAGAAGCTGGAAGGGACCTCTGGAGATCATCTAGTAAAACACACCTGCTCTAAGCCGTGTCAACTAAGCAGGCTGCCCAGGACCATGCACAGCTGGTTTTGAAAATCTCCAAGGATGGAGACTCTAGAACTTCTCTGGGCAACCTGCTTAGTGTTTGATCACTCTGACAGTAAAAGAAGGGGGTTTTTTTGTCTTACGTTTAAATGGAATGTTTTCTTGTGTTTCCATTTGTGCATGTTCGCTTTTCATTGGATACTGCCGAGAAGAGTCTGGCTCTTATCTCAGTCACCTGAGAGAAATAATAATCAGTGTGAATGAATCCAGTAGGATGACCCCCTTTCTTAGTGTGTCATTTTTTCCTTGTAACCCTTTTAATAAAAAAAAGCTTTATGATACTCTCAAGTGTGAAAGGAGTGCTGTTATGCACCTGTTGTGAGTACTTTTGTATTAATTTTTTGTTCAATAAAGTATTGAGTTAAAGTGACAGTTTCACTGCTTCTAATACAATGTCCTACTTGATATTTCTGAGGAAAAACCAGCAACCATTTGTGAATTGCATTGCTATTAACTACCTTATGCGTGCAATAGTTAAACTCCCACTCACTCCCATTTCATACTTGCCCACATCTTTCCATTCCTTTCTGCTCAGCCCTCATTCTTCTGTTTTCATCTGAAGTGAAAAAAATAATGCAGGTGGTGACTCCACCTCTGAATTCTGGCCCAAAGATTATGGCCAGCATGAAGAAACTCTACACGGCAAAGATTGGGAGCCAAGGATCATGATATAAACTAAGAAGTGAATGAGGAACACCTGCAACTTATTTACCACCATACAACGAACTCTAACCCAGGTTTACCTCTTGCCAGCCATTGCCAACAGGCTTCACCTGTGCAGAGCTCTCCCATCTCCTAGCAGAGCAGCTGAAAGTGCAGTTACTCTTTGTAGGGGAGTAGAACCAACTGTTATCTTCCTGCAGCCTTAGAAGGATGAAGAGGGAAAGACTGAACCAAGTATGTGTGGTGACTGGGAGACAAAAGGAAGAAAGGAAGTGTACAGCAGAGAATGAAGTTGAAGGTATTTTGTTCATATTCTTTATCTCTGGGTTGTTATGGTTATGACTTCTAAATGTTAAGTTTAATAGGAAGTTACTGATGCTGGTGTGTTCTGACTATTTCTGAGTGCTTGCCAGCATTCTTGTGTGTGTGAATGAAGAAAAAAGAGTGCCTGTCATCACTTGGGAAACATCCTGGTTGTTTCAAGTAGTGTTGTGTTAAGGAAGAGCTAAGCAGTGTGCTGCAGATCATTCAAAATTAAATCTTTATGAGTAGGCAAAGAGGCTGATATAAATGTTATAATAATGTTTGTGGTGTTTCCTGTTGTCTTGTGCAAAGATTTATGATATCAAAAGAGTATCTTAGTAATCCAGAATTGAAAGGGGTAGGAAGGGTAATGTAGTTCTTTGGAATTGCTCTGTGTCCCTATATCAGTTTGCACCTGTACTTGCAGATGTGATATGGAGGATTTCTGGCTGACAGAAAGGGAGGAAAATTAGTGTAATGAAATGTGTACGAATAATGCTACATAGTTAAAAACTGAAATTTAACTTGCTGTGAAACTATCACAAAACAAAAGAATTATTTGGGCTGTGATTAAGAAGTAGATTTTTTGCTTAATCTTTCAGGGTGGGGTGGGTTACTTTGCCTTTCCCTTTATGATTTTTTTTCTTGTACTGCCCTAGTGATTCAGTGAATCAAACATCTGTGGTGGCTTTTGGTTTTTGAGTTTTTGTCCTCTTTTTATGCAAAATTGTGAGAGAGTTGTGGTTTCACAGACTAAGCTCTGGACTGGGAGGCCGTCTGGGCTCTGTTTCTGACTCTCCCTAGATTGACTGAGCAAGTAGAATTGCTTTTCAGGCTCAGTTATCCAGGTTTCCTGCTCAAATGTGAAATACTTTCACATCTGGTGTGATTCACAGCCTTGCTGGAAAGTGTGCTGCCTCGGTGCCTCATAAGAACTTCAGTAGTGCTCTGGGTACTATCATGTGACTGCTTGGATGGTAGGCGCTCTGCACCTTTGTTTCACCCATATGTAGATTTGATAAGTTATAGAGATATATGTTAGGAGTGTATTGTATACATGTATCATCCTGAAACCATTCTGTGTCTCTGGTAGCAGCTTGATGCTTTTCTTTCCCTAATTCTACTTCAGTCCCTGCAAATAAACTAGCATATGTGTGTGCTTGAACTCTGTTGTCTGGTGCCTTTTTAATCTTATAAAAAACATTTGGCTTCTACACACCTTACACTCTCCAAGCTGCCACTTTAATCATGGGGTAGTTGGAGTGGGATGTGGCTTTCAACATTGTTCTGAAATGCTGGCAAACTTGATTCACTGTGACCTTATTGAGAGGGATTATCTCAGGAGACTCCTGAAGTGTGCTTTACTAAGGACTGTCACAGTGGAAATCATACTTGCTGTTTGCTTCTGTCGTTTAGACCTCTGAATTCTCCCAGTATATACCTTGAATGTACAAGTTTGTTTTTCTGGGAAAGAATCCCTTAGCTTGTATCGTGTAACTTTCCCAGGACAGAACCCACATTTTACAAGACAAAGATTTCCATGTAAGCAAATGATGTTGTCAGATTAAGAAGGGGGATTTCCTCAGACCCTTTACATTTGGTCAGCCTGGCAGTTTCCCAAGAAAGCTGAGGCCCTTGCGCCCATACAGCCTGCTACTGTTTCATATAGGGACCATCCCAAGAAGCCTGCGGTATCTGAGGATGATTTGATTAACCTGTTCAGGGACCTGCACTGACCGCAGGTCCTGCACTGACCTGCACTGAGTTAAATCCCTTATCAAGTTTCTGCAAAGCAAATTTTATTGTATAAAATACACACTATGACAATTAATGTTCAGAGATTGCCGTTGCTCTTGCAGCCAGTCTTCTATCAGTGTATAATCAATCTTTAGTTGGTAGTAACTGCTAGCGTAAATTGATTACTTAATGTGCATAGGAGAGGTTCTTACCTAATAGGCAGCCCTATGGGAGAGAAGACAGGGTCAGCCCATCGGCTGATCCCAAAAGTTATGGTGGAGTCTTCCCTAACTTTCTCCTCAATCTATTTTTATACTGTTTCTTTGTATTTAGGTGGAGCTTGACTGACTCTAGTCATACATACCTTTATTACTGATCGGTGCAAAATTCTCTGGCTTTGCTCTTAAAGGTATGGTCAACAAAATAGAGAGCGCATGCTCAACGAGGAGTCATTGTGCCTCAGAGGGGGGTAACTTTCGGGATGGAGGTGTGTTTTGGTATTATAACAACATTATAATGAACAAAGTTTGCCTCAGGATAAAGATTTCGCCACAGTGCTTGGCACAGTATCTGCCATCTTTCTTGTTGGACAGCTGTTATGCAGCTTATTGGCTCAAAATATCCCCATCCTTTGTATAGGAATGTCACAGAGCATAACCATGGAGCCTACACCCCATCTTATCCTCTGTGTTCTGCCCATTCCGTACCATTCTGTTCTTAGCACGTGCCAAGATAGCAGGATGTGTTCCCGGGGAAATCAGTCCTTTGCATGCCAGCTGCACCTTTGTCCCAGAAAGTAGCAACTGTGTTTTACTTCACCCATATTTTTCTGATGATAAGTTTCCTAACTTCTGTTAGGATATAGACATTACCTTGGAGAAACTAATTCTGTGCCCTGCCCCTGTCATTTTCCCACAGATGTGTACTTGGATTCCTGACGTATGCTTTTTTTATCTCTTGAGATTAAAATTGTTTTCTGAATAGGCTCCTTCTGTGTGTTCACCTGCATTTCCTAGGCAGTTAGTGAAAGGATATGAAATATATACTGCTCGGTTATATTTTACTTTCCTGTCTAATTTTCAGCTGAAGCTGGGAGGAGGGCATGGTATCCATCAACCAGACTTGTCTTCACTGCAAATTGTTTTAATTAGCTTGATAGTCCAGCTGTCTAATCTAACTGTCTGTCCCGCTAAATGCTTGTACAGCTGCAAGTTGCTTTCTGAGGGCCTGTTCCTCACACTGACTGGCTTCAGAGTGGGTTTGAAAAATTGGAAGTAGTGGCATTAGGTGTTTGCTCATACTTAGTGAAGGCTTAGGAATGGCTCTGCCTTGAATTAAAATTCTTAAATTGGCTAGGATGAATGTTCTTCCCTTCTCAGCTGGAATTAGTTTTATTTATTAAGCAGCTCGTGGTCTCTTTTTCAATGGAGTGGAGGGGTTTTTATCCCTGAGATTTTGAAAGCAGGATTCATGATGACATTCCTACGCTCATCTGTCATGCAGCTCTGCATAAAACTGCACAAGAGAAACAGTAAAATCAGCCTCACCAGAAAGGAGAATTTAGTAGGATAACTCTATACAGGTGACCATTTTTATCACAGAACACAATAAAATGGTTAATTTACTTGAAGACACTCTGAAAATCTTCAGTGTTATGACAAAATCAAGGTAATTATAGTTTTTCAATCTCTAATGGTCGCAACATTAAAAGCATCCTAAACAAAACCAAACTAAAAATGAAGTTTTTAAATACTTATTTGTCAATAGGTAATTCTCCCGTGTTTGAATTCATGTATCTACAGGCCACACTCTGCTCTTCATTAGGTGGGCGGTACAGTAAACATTGGGGTGGAAGGCACCTTCTCCTGAAGCCTTCTTGTAGAATAAGAAGGTGAGCGCAGCTGTGTCGGCTGGGACCAGTGCTGCAGCAGGAGCTGAGGCAAACGTGTCTGCTGCTCCCATGGGTGTCCTCTGTGGCCAGGGCATCTCCTG